AGGCAAGATGTTGCGACTTGGTCGTGCTCTAATGTGACGGTCTAGCTGATCCCACAAGTCTGGTGATGGCCAAGGCAAGATGTTGCGACCTGGTCGTGCTCTAATGTGACGGTCTAGCTGATCCCACAAGTCTGGTGATGGCCAAGGCAAGATGTTGCGACCTGGTCGTGCTCTAATGTGACGGTCTAGCTGATCCCACAAGTCTGGTGATGGCCAAGGCAAGATGTTGCGACCTGGTCGTGCTCTAATGTGACGGTCTAGCTGATCCCACAAGTCTGGTGATGGCCAAGGCAAGATGTTGCGACCTGGTCGTGCTCTAATGTGACGGTCTAGCTGATCCCACAAGTCTGGTGATGGCCAAGGCAAGATGTTGTGACCTGGTCGTGCTCTAATGTGACGGTCTAGCTGATCCCACAAGTCTGGTGATGGCCAAGGCAGGATGTTGCGACCTGGTCGTGCTCTAATGTGACGGTCTAGCTGATCCCACAAGTCTGGTGATGGCCAAGGCAAGATGTTGCGACCTGGTCGTGCTCTTATGTGACGGTCTAGCTGATCCCACAAGTCTGGTGATGGCCAAGGCAAGATGTTGCGACCTGGTCGTGCTCTAATGTGACGGTCTAGCTGATCCCACAAGTCTGGTGATGGCCAAGGCAAGATGTTGTATGGGGCCTTGTGTCATCTTGTTGAAGCAGGGTCTGTCCTGTTCTGTTGCAAGAGTGAGTGAGTATGGTTTTACCGCGCTTTTAGCAATATCCCAGCAATATAACGACAGGGGACACCAGAAATGGGCTTCACACATTGTACCCATGTCGGGAATCGAACCCGGGTCTTCGGCGTGACGATCGAACGCTTTAACCACTAGGCTACCCGACCGCCCCTCTGTTACAAGAACGGTAGTACAACAGGCTAGAAAGACTGGTCAATGTAACGCTGTCCAGTGATGTTTCCTTCCAAAATCACCAGATCTGTCTTGACTTGGCTACAGATGCTGTATGGACAGGGCTACAAATGCCGCATTGCAGGACTAATGGTGCCGCATTGACTTGGCTACAGATGCCGCATTGACAGGTCTACAGATGTTGCCACCCCCAAACTGTTCAACATCTTGAATGCAATAAAGTTCTCCTTATCGTAGGTTGACACAAATTCTTCCATCTGCCAGGAAAATCTTGAACCTGCTCTCTCCTGTCAACAGGACCCTTTAACAGTTTCTGTTCTACCAACGTTGCAGTGTCAGCGTTGAGTCTCGTAGTGGTCTGCAAGTTCTGATATTCTCCCGACGCAGTCTTCTGGACACTGTCCAGCGACTGACAGGATGACGTCAGTGATAATATCATTCCTCAGATAGAGGATACGCAAGTAGCGTTTCCAGGGTGGTGGTGACAGGAGGCCTGCCACTCCTCGGACTGTCTTTCTTCCGCCCTGTCTGTCTGAATCAGGTCATGCGTCTGGTGACTATCATTCGCATACAGCCACAACGCCTTGCGAGTGGTCAGGCGTTGCTTCTTGAGGTATCATACCAACAGCTTGGGCATTCTCCTGTAGCGTTAATCGTTAATGCTACTGTCCAACGGTTTGGGTGTGAATGAACTGTAAATCGTACCTTTATACCCATATCTCTGTAGGTTGGCATGCTGAAAGTGCAGCCAAAGTTTTACTTCAAACTCAAGTTCCATTGATCGGGGTGCGGTAGCACGTTCATAACTCATCAAATTGTTTTGGTTGCGTTTGGGCGATTGATTCTCAACTATTTTGTAACACTATTTGGGATTGGAGCCAACGTGTCCTAATTTCAGTTTTGTAACGTTTCTTCGTCAGTTTTCATCAAAAGTTATGCTGTTTATATCCATCACCCACAATCTTATTAATTGAAAAGTATTGTAAAACAAATGGCCTTTTTATATAAAAACTATATTTGATACTGTAACAGCTATTATCAATGTTCTGGTTTAAAATCACCTACACCTGCACTGCTTTAATATTGAACAGTGAGAGAGTTGTTTAACATTCTTTCAACATGTTGACTTTGAAATGTGACGTAAACAAAATCTCAACTCTCATGCAGGAAGAATGAAAGAATCTCTGCCTAAAAAAAAGAAGGGAAAAAAAACAGGACTCTACCTAAATACCCTGAAAATCCGCACTCGTCATAATCCTCGAGTTGTTTCATCGTTGACATCTACATGCGAACCGATTACTATGTGAAATATAGGGTAACCTGTGATCAGGTTCATATTCATCGCATGTTTTGTTTGTTTGTTTGTTGTTTAACGCCGCACTCAGCAATATTCCAGCTATATGACGGCTGTCTTTCAATAATCGAGTGTGGACCAGACAGTCCAGTGATTGACGTCATGAGCATCGGTCCACGCAATTTGGATACAATGACATGCATCAACCAAGTCAGCGAGCCTGACCACCCGATTCCCGTTAGTCGCCTCTTACGACAAGTGAGTGAGTGAGTTAAAATTTAACGTCACACCGGCAATATTTCAGCCATATCGTGTACGGAAGCATGTTTCGCTGAAGACCTATTCTACCCCGGATCTTCACGGGTTTCATCGCATTTAATCTCTCTCTCTCTCTCTCTCTCTCTCTCTCTCTCTCTCTCTCTCTCTCTCTCTCTCTCTCTCTCTCTCTCTCTCTCTCTCTCTCTCTCTCTCTCTCTCTCCCATTCTCTGGCCCTTGAGGAATATACAACCCACAAAGTTATCGATCACATTACAATCTCATTCTACCAGGTACCCAGTCACTACTGGGTCCGTGATGTCCATGATCGTGTGATATATACGGAAGTGGTTATATACTCTTCAAAAAAAAGAAACGCAAAGCCAGATTTGTGTGAGGTAGGAAAATTCATTTATACGAGGAATCGTACATGGTATTGAGCCAAAATGTTGTGGAGAGAACACTTGGTGATTGTTGTCATCTCAGTTATCGGTACGTAGGGAAAGTCCAAGGGGAAGGTCAGCTACCATCAATAACGCGTATGTCCCCCGTTGGAATCGATAGCGGCCTGATATCTCCTGCCCATGGAAGAGACGAGCACCCGAATCACATCCTGGGGAATGGTAGTCCACTCGGCCTGCAACGCAAAAGCCAACTGCTGCAACGTCTGGGCTTGTGGTTGACGTCGGCGTAGCCGTCTAGGCAGTCTATCCCACAGGTGCTCTATCGGGTTCAACCCGGGGATCCGGGGAGGGCCAGGGGACAATATCAACGTTAATGCGGCGTGGACTGGCTCTTGTGATCTGTGTTGTATGCGGTCGCGCGTTGTCCTGCTGGAATACACCGTTGCCGTTGGCTGCAATTGGGAGGGCGTGTGGTAGGAGTGAGTGAGTGAGTATGGTTTTACGCCGCTTTTAGCAATATTCCAGCAATATCACGGCGGGGGACACCAGAAAATGGGCTTCACACATTGTACCCATGTCGGGAATCGAACCCGGGTCTTCGGCGTGACGAGCGAACGCTTTAACCACTAGGCTACCCGACCGCCCCTCGTGTGGTAGGAGAATACGTTGATGTATCGTTGAGCCGCAAGATTGCCCTGGATAAGGACCAAACCTGTCCTTCCATGGTGAGAGATAGCCGCCCACATAACGCTATCACCACCAAACCTGTCCACTTCCGGTATGCATTTTCCGGCGTAAGGTTCTCCCCGACGTCTGTAAACCCGTGCTCTTCCATCCCCTAGACGGAGGGGAAATCGTGACTCGTCGCTGAACCAGACATCTCTCCATCGCAGTTGAGGTCATACCCTGTGCAGACGACACCAATGCAGTCGTTGTGGACGATTGTGTCGACTCAATATGACGCGTCGAACGTCGACGCGCCCGTAGACCTGCTGCTCGTAAACGATTTCGTAAGGTCTGGTCGGAAATTCTGCGCAGTCCGGGTATTTGGGATCCGGTTGAGGTGGCCGTTGTCGTCCTTTCACGTAGGTGGCGCGGTCGGATGTAGCGATCTTCGGCGGGGGTGGTTACTCTTGGTCGTCCCGACCTTGGCCGATCACGTGTTGACCAATGCTGTTGAAACCGATCCCATAGCCTTGTGCTCGGCGCTATATTGAAAACCCCGGCTACAGGTGATCGAGATCCCCCTGCCTGCAAGCGGCCTATGACGTTGTTTCTGCACTTCTGTTAATCTTGGCATCTTGTTGAACTGTCACTGTTCAATTGACGCAGATGCCAGGCAATAAAAAATCCTGCACTTAAATGTTCTTGTTGAGGTCATTTAGACCCGGGAAATTTGTCACTGACACTACAACACATTAAACCTCTTCATTTTGCACCTATTGGACCGCTAATTTTGCTTTTATGGCCAAAAATATCCCATTTGCGTTTCTTTGTTTTTGAAGAGTATACTTACATAGGTGATATGTGTGGAAGTAGATATACTGGGTATACTTACATCAGTGACATATATATATGTAAGTGGATTTACTTACATCAGTGATATATGTGGAAGTGGATGAACTTACGTCAGTGACATATGTGGAAGTGGATATACAGGATATACTTACATCAGTGATATATGTGGAAGTGGATAAACTTACGTCAGTGATATATGTGGAAGTGGATATACAGGATATACTTACATCAGTGATGTATGTGTAAGTGGATAAACTTACGTCAGTGATGTATGTGTGGTCATACCCTGTGCAGACGACACCAATACGTGGTCAGTGATATACATCAGTGATATATGTGGAAGTGGATGAACTTACGTCAGTGATATATGTGGAAGTGGATATACAGGATATACTTACATCAGTGATATATGTGTAAGTGGATATACTTACATCAGTGATATATGTGGAAGTGGATATACGTTTCCCATCCGTGAATGGGTACCCGGTAGGATAAGATGGTAATGTGACCGTTAACCTAGTGGGTCCTCACAGGCAGACATGGTTGTATACTCCCTATGGAGCTGAGAATGAGATTCCTTTAACAGGGGATATTATAATGTAACGCTAATGCGGAGGTGGATGTACTTACATCAGTGATGCGACGGGGAGAGTAAGGGGATGCTCACAACGCCGTGTCCGGGAGGAGATACCTGTTCCACACCTGACTGAGCATGACGACCACACACCCCATTTCCCCCACTGCCCGGCGATCTTGTTGACATCACGGGAGTTCTGTCCCGACTGGTACGGAGGCTGCAATATACACGGATACATGGAGTTTACCTGCTGCCTTTAATAGGAAAGGTAAATAAAATAATAGCATAATAAAAGGAGTATTTTCCTACATCGACGAAGACAAGTTATCATCCAAAACCGGCTCCCACAGGAGATATCGCTTGAGTGAGATCAAGCGATATCTATACTGTAGATATCGCTGCAATGAAACTGCATCACAATGCTTAGCAGACCATCGTGACGTCATTGGTTACCATGACGTCACAATCAAATGACATCACTAATGGCTCTGCTACTGAAGCTGTTAGCAGTACTTTTTACACTGAAGACACTGCTTATTACTTTCTACAAACTGAAAAAGTTGGAAGAATGATGTTGGATGATAAATAAAATTTCACCCTCGTGTCTTTTGATATCAAATATATCAACACTCGTTGATAAAAGTGGAAAAAAAACCTCGGCAAGCCTCGGAGTTTCCCCACTTTTATCAACTCGTGTTGATATATTTGATATCAAAAGACACTCGGGTGAGATTCTCTATTTAACATTCATTATGTGTTCATCATCCTCGTGACTCAAGGGTATTTGTATGTAGAGAAATGTCTAGTTCTTGTACGGGCCCAAGTAAGGGTTGAGACGGGTTTTAATGTGCATCTGTATTAGAACTGTTTGTTTGTTGGTATTTTTGTGTGTTTGTTTGTTGTTTAACGCCGCACTCAGCAATATTCCAGCTATATATCTGTAAATAATCGGGTCCAGACAATCCAGCTTAATATGATATTAAGCTCATCGTAAATGATAACGTTAATATCGATGTAGTGTCGATGTTAATATCGATGAATAGAATATATCAGACGATTGCATGTTGTTTTCATGACAACAGTTTAAACATCAGCAGCCGGCATGAGAATAGAGTACCAGGTGACGGTAAGACTAATCGTTGTTGCCCAGATCGCGAACGCCCGTGCCCTCCATGCTGTGACAGTGATCAGTGACTGGTGTTGGTCCTGGTGAATATCACTTATCAGTTTCCCTAGTTATATCAGGCAGTACAGTGACAGTGACACTGTGCTTGATTCCCGACACCTGTGAAGGGAGAGAGGCGTCCACTAAACTTCCTCTTTGAGAGACTGCTGGATGTAATCACCAACCAAACCACGGTGTAATCACGCAGGGGTCTGTTTGGACTCAAGACGCAGCAGAACAGTATTTCATAATCCAATAAAATGTCGTTCATCCGACCACAACCTGATTCTGCATGACTGTGGCTCTGAGCCGTCAGTATTCACAGGCTCCTGTCTGCTCGCCATAGGAGGGATATTGTGGCAGGTACCATGCAAATGAATGCCTTGAAAGATACAATTACTGTCACAGGAGACACGTGTCATCCACATGGCAACGGTTACCTAGTTACCAAGATGGCAGATTTACTGAAGTCGTCAGTGTAGCCCAATGATGGCATGAAGTATGTAGCCTGCCAGCCCCGTCTCTGGTTCAGCAACCGACCCAGTGAGGGAGTAGTCTGCTGTAACCATCCATCAGCCATCTGATGGGGACATGCAGTTGGGAAACCATCGCGTGGCAGGCAGTCTGCGGGGCAGGTTTGGTTTGTTGTTACACTGCAGTCAATATTCCAGCTGCATCAAGGCGGCTAGTAAATACTCGAGTAAGGACCAGGGTAACCAGTGGTTGATACAGTGAACAACTTACCAGGGTCACGATGACACGTACTCAAGTCACCGAGCTTGACCCTCGATCAATTTAGTCAGCTTTAGAGAGCTGTTTTGTTCCGGGTCTCCACAGAGTGAGTCACCGTGAAACTACCGTGGCGAACTCTGGATCCGGTAATATAACAGTGAGTGAGTGAGTGAGTATGGGTTTACGCCGCTTTTAGCAATATTCCAGCAATATCACGGCGGGGGACACCAGAAATGGGCTTCACATTTTCAAAATGAGCCATACATTTCGTTTGCTCCATATTTACAGTAAGTTCAACCCGTCACAATAACTCTCTAATACATTTGTTTGCTTTTGGTATTAAGGTATAACATTGAGGAATTATGACTATATCATCAGCGAAATGAAGAAACAATAACTCAATATTTTCCGGATGTAGTTGTATACTATTTGGATTTGAAATGATATATTTTTATAAAAAAGGGAAATAGAAAGGGACTTAATATACACCCTTGGCGGACACTGATGTTGGTAATTAAATTTTCCGATCTAGCGCCATTGCTCCGAACACACACCTACATATTTTTATATAAAGAACACATTAACGTTTCAATTCTGCGACTAAGTCCATGTCTTTGAAAGAGGGGCCATACGTCAGACTTTTCACAGAGTACAAAGCACTGAAAATATCTTCATTTTATAGCATTGACTTGGTAGATAGTCTATATTATAGAGCGTAGGATAAAAGCATTTTGAGTGGTAGAGTGTCCTTTTCTAAAACCTGCTTGCGATTCATAAAGAAGCCGTCAAAAACAAGTCTCTTATTGATAATGGAAGTAGATATTTTACTAAATTCACTGAGCAGAGTCCCCTGTACTTATTAATATCGCTGGTTGCGCCCTGTTTGTGAACAGGAAACCAACTATCCAATTGTCTTGAAAATATGATCTCGAATCAGATAAACAAAACAACAACTTGATATGGAATTTTGAGATTGAAAAGGAGAGTATGACAAGACTGTTTAAATTGATGACATGTCAACAACGATATGAACCGTAGTTTTAACTGCTGGTCCCTGCTTTAACAGATACTGTAAGCGTCGCACAACATCCGAAATCGCGTTATTGGTCATTTCTGTTCAAGTAGAACCAAGTGAAGAGTAATTAACCTTGTTATTTACTTAATCTTTACAGGAACACGCGCCTGTATAGGCACACATACCGTAACATATTCTCAGACAACGGAACAAATTTAGTTAGATTTCCTCCAATTGTGTCACTGAGACGAGATTCTGTTTCTTTCTTGGGTCTGCCATATACCTCTATGATAGGAAAATTACTTCTACATGTTCATAATACAGTAATCACAAAGCAGGCATTCTTTACTGGAGATGTATAGAGGTGAGCCAGGGCAGGAGATAATCCACCCTACTCTGTACGTATCTCCATGTAATGATATACAAACAGCCTACTACATATTGGCCGGGGGTCAGGTAATGTTTACCGCCCCTGGCTAAGCCTCGCTAAGTAGAATAGAAACGAAATGAACCTCCCTCCACAAGGACCTTCTGGACACTGTATACCGGGGTAGTTTGTTGGGAGGGGGATTAGGGTGGAGTAATAAGGGTTTTATGTCACCTGGGATTAACAGTCATTGGGTAGATGTGAAATATGGACTCGTGTGTGTGGATACGGATTAGAGAATATATAGATATGGATTATGGGGTTCAAGGCGTAAGCCTGGCTTGAGAAGGAAAGCTACTTATGAGAAGTGGACATTTGATCTTCTCTGCGATGAATGATTAATAATAGTTAAGCAGGATGCCAAAATCGGAATGCAAATAATCCCTCAGCATTGAATAGAAATCCCAAAGTCTATATTACAATTTTGTTCCATTAATTGTGTCATATTGGACACAAGATAGAAAAAACCAGATCCTACGCGTGTGCATGCCTCCTCCTTAAGATATGTTAAAAATATAAAGTATACACAGTACCGATACTGTTACGTGAGTTGCGCATCACTGTGTAACTTGCATGATGGAAATGTTTCCGTGTGAACTGGTTCACATTTAAAATATTGTATGTGACCTTTCAAAGGAGAATCTATTAATGACATATTCATTAAAACAACATGCAGCTTATTTACATACCACCAGGTTTAAGAGTAGTGAAGGAAAAAACAAGTTCATTACTCCCGAGTTTAGGAGATCGACTGTAAATCTGCGGATTGCGGAAAGCGTTTATTTATGTCAGCACTGAATAAATATATCCCTTCATGTTATTCATTCAGATATTTCTTTTTGTCATAAACATTGTGGTTTCCTGGGATTCCGATACCGCCTGACATGGGAAACCGGCTCCTAGAGGCAGCATGTGCAGCGTCCCCCCACGCCCCCTGCATCACACAACACCGTCGTTGTTTACACATCCCTGGATGCAGCTGGACGGGGATGTTTGACAACAATACAGTCGTGAGTGAACGAACCCGCTGCAGATGTAGCGTACAGGACGTTCACCTCTCAGTCGGTCGAAGTAAACATCACTGGAGTTTGGGAGCGTGCGGTTTTAAACTTCCTCCACTAAAACATTATGTGTTTTAAGAAGCTACCAAGATAGATCAGCCGGTACAATCAGAAGACACAGAGCTGAGTTATTGTCTGGCTGGCATCGGTGCCTGTGTGGTAAGATCGTGAAATTCTGGAAGGTATACAGAGAAGATTTTATGCTGTTTGGTATTTCAATATCCTTGTTATCAAGTTACAAAAGCACTTGACATATATAGCTTAATGTCCTGACATAACCTGAGTCACTACACATGCTCACACCAACCAAATCATCGACATCCAGTAGGGGTGATTCAACACTGCTGTCGCCAGCACAGACAACGGCTGCACTACCCTCTGCGAACCAGGATCGAAGACAACAATACAGTCGTCCTTCAAGATGTCCAGTATTGGTTGTTCAACGCTGCTGTCGCCAGCACAGACAACGGCTGCACAACCATCTGTGAACCAGGACCCAACACGACCTTCAAGATGTCCAGTATGGGTTGTTCAACGCTGCTGTCGACAGCACAGACAACGGCTGCACTACCCTCTGTGAACCTGGGTCCAACACGACCTTCAAGATGTCCAGTATGGGTTGTTCAACGCTGCTGTCGCCAGCACAGATAACGGCTGCACAACCATCTGTGAACCTGGGTCCAACACGGCTGTCAACATGTTTTGCTTCGATATTTTACGGGACCTATGGCTCATATTTTTTCCTTTAATGGCCTTCAAAATGGTCGTTTAATGAAATCCATGTCAATTCTGTCGCGTTGCTATTACAGTTCCAAAT